TAGGTCCTAATGTCTCAATGGAACCAGTGCTGACATAGTCATCGAGCCATTGACTCGTGGTACTGGCAAATAGCAAGAGTCAACAGAGATGGACACATGTCTAGCATGATGTCTGACTTATACCGCCCCCTCCCATTGTAATCTTCCATGTTGGGATATAAGCTTTTGATGTGGTATAAGTTCATGTGCTCGGTATATCCAAACTCCGAGACAGCACAAAAGATGGGGATTTACCTTTCTTTTTTAAAATCTTATTCTTAGTAACTCCAAAATCTAAAATCCAGCTTTCATGGCTGCTGCGGTGAGCAGCTCAGGATATCCTGTAAAGCCCTCTAATGTAATGAAACCAAGGTAAAGCTGTCCTATTAGGCTCAAACAGAACACAGCCCCCAGCTGTGTGGCAGCACACTGTGAGAGCGGAGCTAAACCCGAGCCATGTGAGAGCTGTTAGGGCTGGAGGGAGAACACAGTTGTGAATGACAGGTTTGTTTCCCTCTTCCCGACGTAGCCCGGCTCATTCACAACCAGGAGTTTGGTCATGTGGAGTTTAAAAAACGCAGAGGTTCTGGCGTTTTTGGTTTAAACCTGTTCGACCATTGGGATTTCTCAACAAACACGTTTGGGAAACACCTGGAAATTTGGAATCCAGGGTCTTAGCCGATGTAAATGAGCCATACGCAACCGCAACCGTTTTTTTTTCTAGCACGGGACTTGCAGGAGATCAGATTCCTGCTGTATGAAAGCGGGGCTTCAAAAAGCTGTAACGCGCTGCAAATAAATCCGGCCCGCTTCATGCTCCTGTGAACACTGTCCAGTTTGGACGTTTAATCTTTCGTCCTGTGACATCCCCGTCTCTGTGTTATCTAATTTAAAAAAAAGAAATTAAATGTGGAACGATGTGAAAAAAAAAGAGAGAAAAGGACACTTGTTCTCCTGCCAGATGTTGAAAGGCTTTTTCATGAGTTTTGCGTTACCCAATTTCTTTTCTCAGGCAGCCAATAGTGCCATAAAAGGATACGCGAACTATAGAAAGAATGTGGCCAGATAACACATCTCCTCTCCGGCATTGCTTTTCATCCCTCTACCTCTTCTTTTCACTTATTATATCTCCTGTCACATTATCTCACCGGTCTTCGTCTTTGTCCAGCTCACTAACTGGGAACGTGGCCTTTAAAGAATCCTGGTATTTCCCCATGACCCAGTGAACAATCACTTAACGCCCACAGACGGTGACCAAGAAGGAAATTATTCATTAAACTGTACTCTGAAGAATGTCACGGGCAATTTTCCCAAGAAATACAACACAATGCTGATCGGGGGTCGCTTGATTGCTGGGTTTCATGAAGACATGTCACCGTAAAAAACGTCCAGGCAGTTTCCAGGTAGGTTGGCGTAACTCCAAATGTCAAGTTTGATATCTGGAGTGAAATCAGTTAAAGAAGGCACATCACAAAGAGTTGGCGAATTATCTAAAGCGTTGTAAAGCAACCTAGGTAAATCTCGGATTGGTTCAGATAAGAGTTCGGCCTCTTAGACTTGCACGTCTGTCTGTACTAGCCCCTAGCGTAGTAATCCAGCAAAACAGTACCGTCACCATTTTAAAAGTTATCTGGGTTATTTCTAGGTTGAATGTTGAGACAGATCAAAATAGAAAGTAAGCTTGATACCATGGAAGAGACAGGGAGAACCCCATTATCTCCCACTTCAGCTGTTTTAGATGACAATTGGGAGGAAATAGTCTTCCTCTTAACAGGAAGACATTTCGAGAGAGTCATACTCAGGAAGGGCATCCATCTGTTGCGACCAGTGGGGGTTAAAGGAAGAGCGATAAGATAAAACACTTGTACTAAGAAATGCATAAGTTGTTATTCCTGTAGTTGTCGTTTCCCTCTGAAAAACACAGGGCACGTTTGTTTAATAGATGTATTTTAGAAGGAGGTATTGCATCAGATGTAGTATCAACTAGCTGCAAAGTTGTGGGGATTGGAGTCAACATTAACATTTTAACTGGTCAAAAGGTCAGTGGTTGGGTTCTGGGCTGCATGTCTAAATGTCTTTGGGCAAGACTATGAACTTCAAGTTGCCAAAATGTTTCTGTGACCCCTTTTCCTGGTAAATCGCTTTGGAGAAAGGTGTTTGCTAAATATACGACTGAAATGTAAATGTGATTAAACTGCGACACATAGATGTGAACAATCAGAAAGACCCGCTGGGATAACAGTATTGGGTCTTTTCATCTTGAATCATGGCAGAAACACAGTGTTACATGGTGGCTTCTGAGGAAGGGAACTGCTCTATCTGTACATATAGATTTTTAGATTACTGTTAAATATACCATTGCGAGTTCCAACATGTTTTTTTCACCTTAAAGGTTGGCAATGGGGGTTCCACTGGTCCATTAGCTCTCCTCCTTTTGCCACATTCCGTCCTTCGTCTTCCCACCCATCCTGTGTGAAGGAGGCTCTTAGCAACAAGCCTTACATGGACCCGGGACAGAAACTGACCAAACACCTTCATCAGTCATCCTGGACAGTCTGCATTCATTTACAGCTGCATCACCATTAGCTCTGTACAAACTCAACTGACTTTGGTTACATAACGATTCTTCAGACTATAAAAAAACTAAACAGAAGGGCCTGAGAGAGAAAGCGAGGAAAGACGTCTCCTGAGCCAATACTCCTGAAACCATAGTCAACAACATTTGCAGTTTCAAAACTTGAGTTTTGAATAAACAAAAGCACTTCAGCTGCAAAAAATCTCTTGCATGATGTGGCAAATAAAGACCACTGAATGCATCATGGTGCATGAAGTCCTGTTTACCGTTTCCAGTGTTCAAAACCAAGTGTTTCTGATTTAGTGGTGGTAGAAAATATCAGTAGTTTTTGCAAAGTAGTGATATGAGGTATGGAAGAACATTCCTGGCCTAGTTATCCTCATTCCTGTGCAGTGACATCTGCCATCTGACAATGTTAAATAACATGAAGTCCATTTAAAGAATGTCTTACCTCTGCAAATTAGAGTAGTTCATACTAAGTGGTAAGGATCTGTTCTTGACTGTACAAGCACCTCATACCATAAACTGCAGCAAAGCAAAATTAAAGAAAATTCCCCCCACCCTCTAAATACAGACAACCATCTTTTGTTTGACACAAAAATAAGCCCATATAAACCTTTTTATTTTAAATCCACTTCAGTCATTCATTAGGATTTAAAAGCAGAAGCGGAAAAAGACACAGACAAGATAAAACAGAAAAAAGACTCAAGTTTGAGCTACATATCTAGGCTGGATGAACTGCTAAATTTGGCAAGCTAGTGCTACATTAACTAAATGAATGTTACTTAAGCTAGCTAGTGAGCCATACATGCTAGCTAGCCCAACAGGCTAACATTTCCTACTTCTACAAACGTGTGCACAGACAGACACGCAGACCTTACACTTGTGTTTTGTAGTCGCCACTTTCGAAATTGGATTTTGGAAAATCTATGCCAAGGCAAAAAAGAAAAAAACACCCATAAATGGGACTATTGCATATTAAGAGACCAAAAGTTAAACTTGTCTGCAGTTACTGCCTTACTGAATTTCATCAGTTGGTAAAAGGGTTCATAAAAACAAATAATACATTGTGTCTCAAAGTTTTAACAACATGGTTTTGTTAATATTAATGAGATAAGTGAATACAGCGACTTATGGTACTATAGTAGAACTAGAGTACTAGAGCAGAAAAATCCCCCCAACCAACATCTGTCAAATTGTGGATAGGATCGAACAATGTAGGTTTTCATTTTCTTAAGGAACTCAGAATCTTGTGATGAGATTAAAGGAATAAAGATAAACCGCAACCCCGCAAATTCAATTCTGATGGTTTCATGTGAGCGAAAGCTTTTCAGCTTTAGACAAAAGTGAGCTCTATTTGATGCCACCTGGGTGTCAGCATGACCCAGCAAAGACGTGCAGAGGGTGAAATTGAACAAGCACAAGTCCATGTCTTTTAGGGGAGTTAGCTCTTTTCTGTATTGCCAGTTCATTGTTTTTAATAGACAAAAGAAAATCATCAACCGGGTTGTCACTTTTGTACACTTTAGTGTTGCGTTTCTTTTCTCCAATCTGGGAAAAGCCGTAATGCAGCCCATCTCTGCTTTCTCCAATTCGCTTTCTCACTGTGTGCCACACAAATAAAATGTTTGTCTAGGTCAACTTTGCTGAGTGGGCTGTAAAATGCATGTATTGTTGTCCTGTCATGAGACTAAGAGGATAAGGACAAAGACAGTGGAAGGGGGTATCAGTGTGGCCAACACCACATCTATGCAGTTTGGGTAGAGAGAAAAAGAAAAGAAAAAGGAGACGTCACTGTACTCAGAGAACTAAAAGGCACTCATTATGCTAAGCCTCTGTGGTTCGAACCTCCTGCCAAGCCTGGAGTCCTAAACTTAGTCTATTCAAAGCAGTAAAATAAATCACCGAGGAGGACGTCCACAAGCATGAACAGAAACATGCTCTCAATATCAAATCAGGGAAGAGGCTGGCACAGTTTACACGCTCCTATCTGGTTGAGCAACATGACTCGAGTCTGTGCCGGGGAAATTTACAGGATATCACGCTCATCTGTCTGATCACGCATGACACCCGAAAAAACAAAAGCCACTTTATTTCTAATGCCTGGCATCCTTTGACTAATCTGACTAATCATTCACTCCTTGCTGCGATCAGTCAGTCTCTGAACGCTTTCTGACTCATTCAGTTGACTGTTCAGACTAGAAACAACAAGATGTCAATTGTAGTTATTTCTAACTAAATTACAGTCATGTTAACCACAAGTAGAAAGTTAATGGTCCTTACTTGACTTTGTAGAGCCAAATAACACATATCCTCTTTTATGCAGTCTAAAATACAGCATTTATTATTTGAATGATTAGAGAGCTTACGTGGTTTGAATGAGTAACACTGAGCTGTCAGGTGACGTTCAAATCTAGAGGTCGTTTTTTAAAAGTCTTACACTTACTTTTGGCCTTTAAAGCATCCATACATCCCTGCCATGCTGTGACGACAAGTTAAGATGAAAATCCTCTTCTCCTAAAGCGGAGGATGTCCCTCAGAATATTCTCCTCTGCGAATACAGAATCCTCAAATCAAACAATTTACGGCTGTATCCCGACTCCTCATGGATATCGATGACTTCTCTCTCCTTCCTTCAGAGAAGACGCTTGCTTTTCCACGTCAAACCATCTTCTGGGTTTCTTCCTTTTAAGCTCTTCTAAAGTCTAATCACACACAGGATTGCCTCTTTTACTAAATTTGGCAAGGGCTAGCAGAAATCCAGAGACCCACAGACAGCAACAGCAGAAGTGGGACTACGACCCAATCGGTATGATACAGGAGTCAGAAAAATATTTGAAGTAAATTGATAGAAAAAAAATCATTTCAAATTTTTTTTAAAGTCTCGTTTGCTGATCAACTTGGATTTCATGTCTTGCTAAAAAAAACTAAACGAGAAAAAGTATTTTCCTGAACGACAGCCACCGACAAAAGTTCAAATTCTTACAGTGGCCGAGGATTGTGGTAAAAACAATAGACTGAATGAGTGGCTACTGCAGGTCTCGCTCCTCGGTTTCCAGTCCCCACAACTGGTAAGGCTGCAGAGGCAGGGAGGAGGACAGATAAAAGTGGGAGGAGTGAGGGAGGGTTGAGGCATGTGTGAACAAGATACTTCCCCCCATGGCCTTATCCTCCATTCTATCTTTTAACGGATAAATTGTGTTCTTCACTAGCAAATTCAGGTAAATCCTGAACTGAATTGGCAACCCTGAAGTGTATATTACTTTTAGCAAAAATTTTTATTGAAGTAACTTTGGTATATATCTTGCAAATACAGTGTTTTTAAGGGATTCAGCAGATATAGCGGAAACATGGTGGCTTATCTTCAGTCTTCTCCATCAATAAAGCTCTTGAAAGAAAAAAGAAACTACCAATTTTACTTTCTTTCAGAGTCCAGAAAATGTTGGCATGTAGGCAGCTAACAAGAAATGTCTCTGTCTTGGATTAGTGAAAGCATTTACTGTGATCACTTGTTTGACGGTAATATAGATTAAAGGTAGGACTCCATGAACACCAATAGATGGCTATTTGATGCAGAATTGGGGAGATAAACCAAGTCACTTGGGAATTTTTGTTTTATCAAATGTATATCTTAAAAGGGAGCTAATATTATAAATCTCTCATTATATACTTATGACACTGGGTAAATTAGACAAAATTGACATGGTTTAGGTTAGGTCCAAAATGAACTTGAATGTACTATATTTGGAGCTAGCTAGCTTGGCTAATCAATGCTTGTAAGTACAAATATCATTATTAAAGCCATTAAATAAGCCTTTGAACACAAAAGTGACTGCTGATCAGTTGACTACAGCAATTTTGCACTAATTTCTTGTTTTATACAACAGATTTCTGGTAAACTGAAAACAAGTCATAATGTTAATAACTCACTTAAGGAATAGCTTTCAAAGAGTGATGTTTTTATGGATGAATGGTATTAGCATGACCAACAAAAGAAATTAAATAACAGACTTTTTTAAATGGAAGTAAAAGAGAAGCAAAGGTGTTTCCTGAATATGGTTGAGACCCCTTACATCTTCTAAAAGGTATAAAAGATATCAATAGACAGAAGATGGGCTTACTGGTTAGCATGCCAATCACCTTAAACTACTAGCATGGATGGCAGAGATATGCCCCGATATGTGAATATGCCAACGACAAAATGTCCAAAACTGCAGCGCCTTTACATTATATTAGTCAGTCATAGTTAATTCAATCTTAAAAAAAAAAAAAAAAAATGTTTACAAATTTTACCAAGTGAACTTTCAATAAGGATATTAGACCAAACCACCTTCAGGGTAAACAAAAATGTGAATTTTTTGTTTCTGAAATATCTAACACATATAAATATAATGGACCTTGTTACCATCCAGGCAAAAACATTGGCGCGACGTTAAGTGTTTCGCTCTCAATTTAGAGTTTCGGTCAATGGGTTTTACGTTTTGTAAATGAATCAATATGCAGCACTTAGTGATGACAGCGTTCATTTGACCCACGGCCACAGATATGGATGCAGCTGTTTATCCTGTTATGTGACCACAGAACATGTACAATATCACTGCTATCAGGGACATGGATACAAGCATAAACTTAAAAAAAAATCTAAATTCTCTTACATCTATTCATTGACCCATAACAGAGAGCGGTTTGTTAACACTAAGATGCCCAACCTCCCCATGTCAGTGTCCTTTTAGCCAAGAGAAACAGAGCCTGTTGTTGATTATTCTATCCAACTCAGTTGGGGGCCGAGCAGTGGCGCAACAGCCTGTCGCAGCTAATCACCATTAGTAGGGGGATTAACTGCCTGCAGCCTTTTCTGCTCCAAGTGTGTGCGATATTGTGTGAGTCACAGTGAGCTGTCGATCCTGCCTCTGAATCTTCTAAAACCCACACAAATCAAAGGGGGAAGAGCAATAAGAGCTCTATTTTCCTTAATGATCACCATGAGGTCATTAATGGTGAGGATTTTATGTTGCTATTTGTGATAAGGCTCAATTCAAAACATTCAAAAGAGTCAGAATTCGAGTGAAAGTCCGCAAAATTGTTTGGTGAAAATGAGGAAAAAGAAGTTGCCATCCATTGGGAACAAACTACCTGACTTGGAAAATAGAGGTGTGAACATCATGAATCATCAAACTGTTCACAGAAGACCAGCGGAAAAGGACTGGATTTCCCAATCTCAACAAGCCCGAACTGAATGCTGTCTGTGTGATTCACATTTCATTTAAGACAAGCTGAAGCTGTTAGGTCAGTAGAATGTGTGCGTTTGCATTTGTGTACGCGTGCGTGCGCCTGCTTGTGTGTCATCGAAATGAAAAAAAAAAAAAAAAAAGACAGACAGACAGTCTGTATCAGAGCTCAGCAGCTCCATTTCAGCAGCATGATACACAAACACAGTCACTGAGATCAGTTGGCACACTGCTCTGGAGTTGAGAAATTTACACACACACACACCCACACAAATGGTATTGAGTGTACTACATGACACAGCCAATAAAACCTCAAGAAAGACCCTCCAAGGCTAAAACAAAGTTGATGGAGGACTTCTACCACTCTAATCTATGGATTAATCAGATTTTCCTTCCATTCAATGTCATTTTAGCTGGGTTGGAGGTTAATACGAGTAACTTTTGAGGTTCCTATCCTACATCTGTCATTCGCAGAGGGTTTGTTATAACTTGTTTTTCATATTTTTCTTAGTGAAAATATTCAAACCGTATTAGTTTCTTTAAAAAAAAAAATCTGTATATTAAAAGATAACCTAGAAAGATGTATGTGTGCTCCCTTTGCTTTGAACTGTCCAGGTAAATTACACATTAATGTTAAGAGTAAAACTCATTCTACAGTGTCAATGATAATATGGTGTACTTAGTTTTTATACAACAGGGCCACAACAGAGAAGACAGCTATCATTGAACTGAAGACCACAGCAGACTGCACACACACACCACCTTTGTTCAGTAGAGCCTTATATTCTGGGTGTGTAAAAACAAAATAAAACAAAAAAAAAACAATCTCTGGATTAGAGATTTTTGTGATATCTTCAAAAATACCATATAGCCTTTTGCCTGAACTCTTAAATAAAACAAAAACAGCATGACCAAAAATTTGCCTATGATTATGAGCATCTCCACACTAAAGATCGGAAAAAGGACAGCCTTAAGAAATACGTCCGTAATAATAATACCTTGAGATATTACGTAAAACAGAATATGATCCATACAGCATCATCCAAACACCTCCTACCAAAGACCCCATTTAGAAAAGAATCAGATCTCTTCTGTGCCCTGATAACAGCAATCAATGCAATGCTTTTAGCCCCACAACAACAAAGCAGTTGGAATCCATTTCCATGGCCTGTTGAATAAATAAATAAATAAAAATGACAGTGGCTCATTGACGTTTTTTTTTTCAGGGCAACTAATGAACATCAATTGCAGTGGCAACAGCTGCTCATTTAAACATCTGGAAGAGTCCCCAGAACAAGCTGATGAGGCAGAATGCTTCATTCATCAGACAGTTAGCTTTGGTTTTTCTTGAACAAATCATGGGAATGCTAGAAACAAAAAAAACTATTTGTATAGAACAGTTTGCCAACTGTTTAGCAATCCTTATTTCCTTATTTTCAATGTAATTTATTGGTATGAATACGTTTTTCCTTGTTATCTTGTTCCATTTTCATTTTTTCGTTTAATTTTCTTTGTCACTGCTTTACTTTTGGCTTTCTTTTCCGACCCCGACAGGTCTGAATCATCCTCGGGACCAATCTGCACGAAGCTTGACTTTACTGCTTCCCTATTGATGAACTGCTCCTGGTATGTGTGGGAAATGGACTTCCTCTATAACTTATTCAATCTAAACCATAAATAAAATCTGTTTCTGATCCCATTTGAAGTGAGGTGTAAACACTACAGTTTACTGACATTACATCTTCAAAATCAAATATTAGAAGTCTGTTCTGAACTTGAATCTGTATTAGTTTGTGTACATAAAGGCAAAATGTGTTATTCTACATTCATATATTTCTTCAAAATGAATTTCTGTGTACATGTCCTCCTCTATTCTCCCATTCTTTTGCCAGATGTATTTTATACGTGGCACTCCAGTCATTCCATACATACCTGGCTCTCAAATTGCTATTATCTACAGGGGTTGGACAATGAAACACCTCTCATTTTAGTGTGGGAGGTTTCATGGCTAAATTGGACCAGCCTGGTGGCCAATCTTCATTAATTTCACATTGAGGCAATAAGAGCAGACTGTGAAAGTCCAGTTAGCAGGGTAAGAGCACAGTTTTGCTCAAAATATTGCAATGCACACAGCATTATGGGTGACATACCAAAGTTCAAAAGAGGACCAATTGTTGGTGCGCGTCTTGCTGGCACATCTGTGACCAAGACAGCAAGTCTTTGTGATGTATCAAGAGCCACGGTATCCAGGGTAATGTCAGCATACCACCAAGAAGGACAAACCACATCCAACAGGATTAACGGTGGACGCAAGAGGAAGCTGTCTGAAAGGGATGTTCAGGTGCTAACCCGGATTCTATCCAAAAAACATAAAACCACGGCTGCCCAAATCACGGCAGAATTAAATGTGCACCTCAACTCTCCTGTTTCCACCAAAACTGTCCGTCGGGAGCTCCACAGGGTCAATATACACGGCCGGGCTGCTATAGCCAAACCTTCGGTCACTCGTGCCAATGCCAAACGTTGGTTTCAATGGTGCAAGGAGCGCAAATCTTGGGATGTGGACAATGTGAAACATGTATTGTTCTCTGATGAGTCCACCTTTACTGTTTTCCCCACATCCGGGAGAGTTACGGTGTGGAGAAGCCCCAAAGAAGCGTACCACCCAGACTGTTGCATGCCCAGAGTGAAGCATGTGGGTGGATCAGTGATGGTTTGGGCTGCCATATCATGGCATTCCCATGGCCCCATACTTGTGCTAGATGGCCGCGTCACTGCCAAGGACTACCGAACCATTCTGGAGGACCATGTGCATCCAATGGTTCAAACACTGTATCCTGAAGGAGGTGCTGTGTATCAGGATGACAATGCACCAATACACACAGCAAGACTGGTGAAAGATTGGTTTGATGAACATGAAAGTGAAGTTTAACATCTCCCATGGCCTGCACAGTCACCAGATCTCAATATTATTGAGCCACTTTGGAGTGTTTTGGAGGAGCGAGTCAGGAAACATTTTCCTCCACCAGCATCACGTCGTGACCTGGCCACTATCCTGCAAGAAGAATGGCTTAAAATCCCTCTGACCACTGTGCAGGACTTGTGTATGTCATTCTCAAGACGAATTAACGCTGTATTGGCCGCAAAAGGAGGCCCTACACCATACTAATGAAGTATTGTGGTCCAAAACCAGGTGTTTCAGTTTCATTGTCCAATCCCTGTATATGTTGCTACTGTTGTTCTCAAGTATTTCCTTCTCAGAGATTTCCCTTCTCAGAGAAGAGTTCAACAATTGAACCATCAGCTAACAGTCAAGAATGTTCTTAAAGATAAATAAAGAGAAAAAGCTTAATGTTAAAAGCGCTAAACAGATGGTCTTTGCATTTATTCAGTACCTGTTCCTTTTACGTTTAATGGCTAAAACAAGCTCAACTCCATTGGTTTTGCAAAGGAATCCGACCAATACACCCAAACCGAAGGAGATTTATAACATCCACTTAGGTATATGAACCACCTGGTCGCTCATTCCTATTGCTTTCCCCAAACAGGAGGTTTTCGGAGAACAGCCCTTTCATTATTTCAGAAAACATGCGAGTATGAATTTCTCAATGCCTGCAAGTCAAAACAAATCTGAAAGCGTGACGCAACTGTCTAGTTGCAAAGTGTGCGCTGATGTGTGTCTATGCGAGTATCAATCATAGGACTTTCTGTTTACAGAGCCAAGAGGAATGTCGGTCAGTTTCCCTTCAACAGAAAAAAAAAAAAAAAAAGATTTTGGTATTTCCTGAAACGACCCTGAGGCAGGACCCACTAAGAGAGAAACACAGAGACGTACAGAAGATCAGGTGGGTGAACATTTTCCACTCTGGGAATCATTCTCCTCGACCACATCTTTACAAAATTAGAGTAGGGTGACGTTACCTGGTAGAACTTTTCACTATTTTACACTTTGAGTGAGATCAAAAAACACACTGAGCAAAAAGTATTTAAATGGAGCTAATAGCTAATAACCCATTATTGTTAGCCAACTGGATTTGAACAAGATCGCCATTACAAAACAGAAACACGAAACAGATGTGCCATAGTTTATGCTTCTGGATAATCCTCATTGTTTCTTTTCAGCCCTGATAACCAACAACAACCCCCTGTAGATGTTAGCATTCATGCTGCTAGCATCAGTTCTATAAAAGCTGGATTTTGTATTTTGTATTCAGATTTTTCTCTGAATACAAGACCAAACTGACAACAGTTGGCAAAAAAGAAATACTTTCACAATTCCAAGTCGAAGGAGATTCTTACTTTATCAGCAAACCCCTATCATTTAATCTGATTATCTTAAACTAGCCAGACGTCGAAGAGTCCATTCACTTCCTGACCACAGCCCACAGTTTCCAGAGAGTGCTTTTCTTTTTGGCTTTATTCAATGTCTTTGGGTTAGAACAATTCAGATCTGCTGAATTGTTTTTTTTAAGACGGGCATATGATCAGCAATCATCAGTCACGATGTGCAAGAGCTAAAACGATCTAATTCGTAAGGGTGGTTAACATGTCCCAGTCTGGAAAACTACTTACTTTGGAGTCAGGACGAGTTGTTGTATATGGAGCTACAGGCAATGAGAACGCAAGCAACCCCGGCCAACAAACACCACCAAAAGATCATAAAGATCCATCAAACATGTCAATGATCACATTACAGTAACTATGGTCTGCTCAGGAAATTGAACAGAATTTGACTCAACATTGGTGGTGCTTCCAGTGTTCAATTTCAAGCTCTATGGTCCAACAGACTCAAAAGGGTGCGATCGTGGGAGAAGAAGTCTCCAAGTTCCCGTTGACATGATCTGTCAGCATGGTCCAACGCAGGGTGGAGTCAAGCCATGATTAGAATTCAATCTGGTCAGTCAACGGGACCTCCATCTTTGTAAGAGTATACACGCATGGGAGTAGATTCAACTTACCGACTGAAGTATGTCCAACACTGCTGTGTCAAGGAATGCGTGAGAAAATGTTCAACAGATTCTGCCGTTTCTAACTTGATGATGATTGACCTTGTACATGTAGATTTCGTCAGATGAATCTTCACATGTAAAAACGTTTCTCTGCTTTTGCCACTTGATGCATAATCTTGCGCTTTTATATTCAGTCTCGTCTTACATATAAACTAATGTTTTTACCAAGTGGTGCAAAACAATGGAATGTCGGAGCATTTCCATGTCGGAGATTCGATCCGATACCCAACAGCATGCAGAATTGTGTCCGTAAGTCCACTTAAGGTCAACCATTGGATGGTAATGCACCTCAAAAGTCTTTGATAACATCCAAGAAAACCCAAGATAGGTACATAAATAAATAAAATACTGACCTACCAACCAAATTAGGAAGGTATCTGAGTAGAAAATGTCAGGGGAGCCACAAAATATGGCGGCAAGACCAAGACCGAACTTCCCATATCGTAAAAGCAGCTTCTAAAAACCACCAGACAAGTGATCTGGGAATGGTCAGGATTCAGTGAAAAGGACAGTGAACAGATTATTACAAAGAGCTCATTTTGGGATCAGTTTGCTGGTGCGATTGCCTAATTAGGCGTCACCTCAGCCAGTATAGAAAAATAGAAAAGGGAAACTATCTCGTGATCAGGATGGAGATAGATTGACACAGAAAACGAATCCGGTAAAAACATTTCCGCCATAATCTGAGCCCTTTCTCTGCATCACATTAATAATGCGACACTTGTTTGTGAGGCAACTTGAACTAATTTATATAAAGGTCAAAGTCGGGCAAAGAAAGTGATTGATTGGTTTATTGTAGTGTGAACCCACTACGCCTTTAAAAGTTGTCGGAGAACATTGCGATTCATCCATCGGTGCCGAAAAGCCTCTTGATTTGCTTTACTTTTTGGGAGTTTTCCTTTTCTTGAGTCAAACTGACTAAAGGTTCTCTTTTGTTGTGGCATTTTTGCCTTTTTGACCTCGCAACATTAAGACGCCAGAGAGAAACACCAGAAACCAATCAACCGAGAGAAACGTTTGTTGAATAAAAGCACGGATTTGGTGATTTTACTTCTCATCGATATGAGAATGCTTCCACAGAAGTAAGCCGTTTGAACCCGTGGTCAACCAGGAATTCCCGCTTTTCTTCCCTATTCTTTCCATCCCTTTCCTCATGTCCATCCCTTCCTAAACGTTGATGCCCAAGCCCCTCGCACCCCCGTCCTGTAAAGCAACTGGCGCAACGCCTCCCTCGCCTCCTGGGTTTTGTGGTTTCTCTGCGTCTCCTGTTCTCTCTGGTATAAACGCGCACACACACACACCGGCGGCTCTGGATCCCTGCGAGGAGGAGGAGGAGGAGGAGGAGGAAGAGGGGAGTCGCTCCGCAGCAATCCGAATTCCACCTCACATCTGGAAACCATCTTCCCCTTCCCTTCTTCTCCGTCGCTCTCTGCTGTAATGTAAATAGCCCTGTAATCAAACTCTTGCCAAAAAGCCTGACGTGCTGGGTGGTGTGTGTGTGTGTGTGTACGCGTGTGTGTTTGTGAGACCGAAATCCTACACAGAACAAGCTGAGATCTTTTCGGCCCCCTCTCCATTTCTGCTCCCCGCCGAGGTTTATGGGGCAGTAAAAACAAAAACACTTCTCTTCTACTCAACTTGTGCACTCACCTATCACATGTGTTTGCGTGTGTGCTGAAGCGACAGGAGGGCCACACACAATTTATTCACCGTTTAACTGGATGAGACTTTTTAAAAGTTTGCATCACTTTGTTAGGTGTTAAGGAGATGCTGAAACTTTAAAAAAGTTAGTGTTTAACAAGCCAAAAGGGGGACCAAGATGACCTCGGCCGGCTTACCGTAGGTTGCTATGATAAACTCTTATCTACGCGCCATCAACAATCAGTCCGACAGTCACAATTAAAAACTTGTCCAAAACAAACTCCCAAGACTTTCCCCTAGAAGCTGCCTCAAAAGATAGAAGACCTGAACACACACCAGACAACTTTGAGCATGCTGCACCTGTTAAAGAGGCATCGGTTCGGTTTCCAAATGCCCTCAGCACAGATCCTGACTTTCCCTTAACTGCACAACCAAACGCTTCCCAACAATGACCAGGTTTTAGTCCAGCAGGGTTCATACAGTTGCTGGACGGACTACAGACCAAGTAGTTTCATACAAGGTTAAGAACCCAAATCCCGTGCTCAAGAGTGCATTAAAAATATGTGTACAAGTAACTCTTCTTTCTGTTTAGAATACATCCAGCTGGTCTTCTTTACAGTTTAGCGTTGTGCATTAGCTTTTCTGCTAAACTAACAGGCATGGAGGAAGACCGTCCTGGTCCAAGGCGACCAAAGACTGAGAGGGGTGAGGTTCTGGCCTCTGACCGGCTGCGTCCTTTTACAGTTGAAACTGTGACCAGTAGAAGAATATTAAAAAACAACTTTTTTGACAACCAATTATTAGTTTTATTCCTCCCCCTGAGGAGAGGTACCGATAGCCTTAAAAAAAAGAAAAAGAAAAAAAGCCAAATGCCAGACTGACTGTTAAAATGCATTCCCCCCAACCAGCATAAAAGGCCCCAGACTCAACCTTACATTGGGAGTAGAGCTTACAGGTAAACCCCCCATTAAATTTCCTGTCCCTCCGAGGATGGAAGATGCATTGGAAAAAACAAGGCTTTTCACTAAATCCTGTGGTCAATTGCCTTTTTGCTAAATGACCAATGAAAAAAAAGTTAATCTGAAATCCCATTCATTTGACATTTATCAATAACTATTTATCAACGGGAGCAATTCGATTCTAAAAGTTGTGCCTGACTACACGTTTCAAGAATGACAGACGTTTGCACGCAGTTTCTGTTTAAAGCCCAAAGAAATGTAGCCACACTGAGCAGAGGCCTGAACTATAAACAGGATTAGCAGCTTAGCGAGGTAGCTTCCAGCTGAACTCTGGATTTTCAGCATCGCAAAGCTAGTTTATGACTTACCAAGAAACAACACAAGTGTCCCGGTCGTTAAACACACTGGTACATTTATCTAGAAACCCATCCCACTCCGGAAGTATGATTATTTTGAATCAAATTAATGCCGTCATTCATCATTTCTACGGGTCAAGCTAACTATCCAATTTGCTTAAAAGGCCTTTTTCAGATGCATCTTTAAAAAGCTGGTATAGACACACCTTTCGGGGGTTACTTTTGATGGTGGTGGGGTGTTAAAAGCAAGCTGAAGCTAAACAGCATATCTTTGTTGCTGATGAGCCAGAAACCGAAAATGCTAGAATGGGCAGCCTTTAGAAAAAGAGTCAGTGTGTTCAGTCAGAGGCTTCTTCAGCTGCACGTACAGTAAAGAACAACGCAGAGGGTGACTAATTTAGCTGAACATAATAGACGGAACAAAGGGTGTTTTATGCACCTCCACCAATTTGGAAAAGCCTAATAATGTGATTTATTTAATACATTATGGACAATTTTATATCCAATAATGGATCCTTCATTTCTCGCATTTTCGACCTCAGACTTCTGCTCTTTCCTGGTGAATATCCCCTCAGTAAATCTTTGAGTTTAAACCTTTTCATCCTAACAAAAAGTGTTTGTTTTTGCCCGGCAAGAGGTTTTCTGAACCGACACGCAACTTGCTGTCCCTCAGGCTTCAACGGACGCTTTAGCCGAAGCACGAGAGACCGGTCAGGCAGCAGGAGCACATCCGGCAGACGTCGAACAGTAACCATTCTGGCTTGTTCTCACCGACAGGAAGAGACCAGAGCGTCTCTGTTAAACCTCAGGGGGGGCTTGTTCAATGACCCAGTGACAGATGACCTGATCAGCCCTGTAATCAGGAAGGCCGTGACAGTTTACAGGAGACACACACACACGTAGAAAACACACACAAACACCAAGCTTCTCAGTCAGATTAACCACCCCGAAGCTCTAAAGCTCACATGTGTGATAATACTAACTTGATTTCGTCCTGACATCCGGTTTTGAGAGGCTCAACAAAAAGGGAGGCCCATTTCATGGTTTGATCACGGGACGCCAGATCGGCCCCCTCTCTATTTCCATCACACGAGGCAGACGCTGCGACCGCTCCGAAAAAAACAAGCCCTCGTCTCCGTGCAGGATTACAGTCGTTCTCACACCGTGAAAGAGAACCCTTTAATCTGGACCGTCCTTGACCCTGCCTTCCCTGAGCTCAGGCTGTGAGGCTGAAGAATCAGAGAGTGCCTGTTGGATGGCCTGATCCCACCACTCTGACAGCAATGCAGAAGAAAAGAGAAAGCTAGATGTTTTTTTTAAAGAAGGAAGAAGAACAAACGTAAATATGGTCCTCTGAAAGGAGATATCTGCTGATAACAGTCAAATTAAAGGCAGGGTTAAACCAGCTGCCAGTGAATCTACTTGTGAATAAGACTTAAGCGTGAAATTCATCCTTTAAAAGGCCCTGATTTTGGCAGAACAAGCCATGACAGGGACCAGTCTAAACCAGAACCTTGACCAGCTCTGCTGGACTCTATGGTGGGATGTTGGTTTGGGAGAGAAGTTTTTTAAAATTATTTTGCAGTTTTTTTCCCCCTTATTCCACTCATTCTTCAACCTAACACGAATGGGAACTATTTGAACAGCTAAAAAGCTGGTCGACATACACATCAGTCAGGATTCCACTACAAGAAGTTGCTCTGGAGTAGAAAAGACTCGCATTTGGGCTTTTGAAACTAATTAGAAACATCCAACGGGACCTGAATGTTGCCAAATCCAAAACCCAAACAGAATACACACGCTTCACACCCCCAACCCCAACCCCACCCCCCCCCAACACCACCCTCCACCCCCGTGTGTCTCTCGCCAAAAAAAAACCCCCCCCGGGCCCCCTTTTGGGGTTTAAAAAAAAAAAAAAAAAAGCTGCGCTGGAGTCGCTCTTCACGGCCAAAGAGCGGCTTGAAAGGCTTCCAAAACTTGGCAGAAAGAGGACACTCACCGTGCGTCCCGGTCCTCAAACGGCATCAGAGTGAAGTCATCCCTCAGAGACTGGAACCAAGACATCAGCCCTGTTAGTGCACTGATGATTGGATTATTTGTCTCATTCCTGCGCTGGCGTCCTCTGCTCTGCGGAGCTGCGTTCAGGGGCAGCACGGACAATGCGCCGCAGGGATGTTAGCCCCCCCCCCCCGTAGGTGAGTTTAAACATACGTTTGTGCACGAGAAAGTGGGATTTCAGACTTTGGAAATCGGCTTGCACAAGGCGTTAATGTGGGGTTTGATGCCTTATCATAAAGAATTTTCATTATTAGAAAAAGATTTACCCAAATAAATTATTTTATTATAAAAAAATAACGGGACCTGTCGTCAAATCTACTTTTTTTAATCTCCACTGGATTAAAATAAGAATCAACTCAGTATTCAAATGTTGTCTTTCAGTTTTAATTACCTTTTAATTGGAAAGTGTACATGATCCTAGATTCATCCAGGTTTGCTTTATTATTATAAATCATATTTAAAATATACATACAATATTTATATATATATATATATATATAGAGAGAGATAATAAACTAGAGTAATTTAAAGTGACATCTTAGTGAAGACATCCTAGCTCCAGGCTTTGTTTTTTGTGCTGTTTTTGAATTCACGTTTTTACAGACGAGCCTCAAACGCACCTTGAGCACAAGGAGTGCCGCCCAACTGACTTCAGACGAGATAAGAGATGATGACTCCTGTAGGAAATTTCTCAGCAAAACAGTTTAATCTTGTTTCAGTTCTGAGTAGCAAAACCAGATGAACTAAAATATCTAAACTGCTTTGAAAACATCTCTGATCTGCAACAATTGATTTTTTTTGTAAGACTTTACTGGAAGAGGAGCGTTTGGGTGGATGTAACTGACAACAGCTGGTGGGTACCAACCGTAAAAGGCCCTGAAACACCCAAACTAACAAAAAACTCTGGTTAGATATGATAAGTATTTGGTCCGATTGGATGTTATGACATTTGGGTTTTCTGCTTTGTTGAAAATCCTGAAGCACCTTCGAGTTTCTTCACATTTTGCTTGTAATCTGTTCAAACATTTCTACTTTAGGCAGTCCTATTTTTTCTAACAACCATTTCTTTGGCTCCCTTTTCACCCACTGTTTTTTTTTACAAAACACCTGAATCTGCCTGCTTTTTAAGCCTCTTAACTATGACCTTTGAATCATTCAAGTGTTACCAACACAGTTAACTCAAGGGATGAGCCAGTATTGTATTTACTCAATTTCAGATAGCTAGGCAAAAAGCCAGTTTTAAATGGCAACTTTTGACATTTTGTCACTCGAGCCTTTCACTAAGAATTGCTTACATTTATTAAGTTAAGATGACAAAGTCTGAGGGAATAAAAACAGAAATATTAGTATGTATATGATATAAAACAGAGAAATTAGCTGAAAATATGGTTTCTCAGCACGGTATACCGTTTCCTTGATGAAAATTAAAAGTAAAGGACTTTAATTTTTATACTCTCCATATATAACAAGTGTTACGCCTGCAATAAAACTATCAACAGCTGATTGACATTATCTGAAATTGATAGTCTTAATAAAGAGGAAAACATATCCAACAAACTCCTGGCTCATGACCTGAGAAAAACTCAAACATTTTTCAGATTTTTAGTCAATCTCAGGATTTGATTTTAAGACGCAACACCGCCACCTAGTGTTGGAAACGTAAAACTCCACCTTATCCAGGTTTAAATGGGACACAATTTTGCTATTGCTTTTTTATTTTTAGAAAACTACAGTCTGTGCAGGAGTTTTGCTCTAAAGAGCTTCACCCGTTCAAAACAAGTAAAAATGTTCGAGAACACAATAGAAAACCTCATTAATATCAAAAGCTGCCTAATTAAGATTTTACAGACAATCGCAAGCATGAACTGGTTTTAAAATGCTCTTAAAGATAAATGTTTAGTCTATAAGTGGTTTCTGAATCCATGGTTTGTAGAAAAACAAAACTTTTCTTTGGGTCCTCAATGTTTTGTCAAGCAAAACCTGACAAATTTATCAAAAACAGAAACAGAAGGGTTAAAGAGTACATTAGCGTTTGGTCTCCACATGAACTCCACTACAGTAATAACGCAAACATGACTAAAAAAGACAAACATTCATTTAAAAAAAAGAAAAAGAAAAAAGCAGCTCAGGTGTGAAATGCATCCAACAACTTCTGCTTTTTTACATTAAAAAAAAAAACACCGCACTGGGAAACGAATTCCTGGATGGAGATCTTGGCCTCTACAGCCTCTCCGCCTCCCTGAACTTGGCGAGCAGCCCGTCGTCTGCCCTGAGGGGGAAGTGCAGCGTCCGGGTTTGGTAGAATTGCGGGTCGGACTTGAGGTTTTGGATGACGTCCGACAGGAGGTGGGCGCGCTCCACGCCGCAGCCCGGCGCCTCGTAGCCCAGCTTGGTGAAGTGGACGTGCAGGTGGTAGTACGAGGGCTGGTAGTGCAGGTAGACTCTCAGCTTGCTGGCCGGAAGGTCGAAGCGCTGCTTAATGGCGTCCTGAATCGCAAAAAATGCTAGTGTTATCATCCACTCTCTAACAAAATGCAAAGTCCGTTTTGGGCTCTTCTCCCTCCAGGAACTTGTGGGGGCAGTGGAAACTCACCTGGCCCTTCTGGAGGATGTTCTGCAGCAGTGGCAGATGCTCTGAGCTCAGGTCTCGAAGACTCTTGATGCCTCTCTGAAGGGATATCGCGATCAGGTACAAGTCATCAACCTGAGGGAAGAACAAAATTGCTGGCTTCTAGAAACACGGATGACTTTTAAAGCAGAAAGCTCAAAGGGGACAGTTTTATGAATACCACGCTGGAACTCCACTGGCTTCCCCTGGCTACTCGCATCAAATTCAAATCACTGATGCCAACTTCAGATTCTTTGATGGATCTGCGCCCATCTAGCTCCACACCCTCTTAAAGCCCTATGTCACCACACTATTAGAGCATCAGATTCCCAGACCCAGCTCTTACGAGTATCTCTGGTCCTGAAAGCTCTAAATGCACTTATTTCCTGAGAGGATGTAGCATCAATGTATATGGTACATGTGGAAATCTATGTCATAGTTGACTATTAAATCCTTAATGCTTAATCCTCTTCTAGCGTATTGCATTTAAGGTAAGGTAAGTGTGTAACTGGTGTTGTAGTTGAATGTTAAACCTTCTTTTTGTAAGTCGCTTTGGATAAAAGCTTTTAGTAAATGCATGAAAGTAAATGTAAATGAAAAAGTTAATTATTTTTTCATGATTTGCTCCTAAAATAGGAACCGGTTCATCTGATTTTTTAACAACCATGTATAAGTAGAAGTCTGTCAGTCGATGTTTGGCATTAGCAAACATAACCTTTAATTATCAGCACAGCCGGAACCCTTTAAGATGCTCTCTTACCGTTTCTTTCACTCATTCCAGGAAAATGTGCCTAGAATGGCCCACCACAGAACATTAAATTTAATGTGCGTTTTCTAGGACACTAGTCCAAGCGATTGGTTTCTGTGGGCTTTTACCTGTTTTTGATCCCACTTTAAATCAGGAAGTAGGACGAAACCAGTCTCTGTGTCGGGATCTTCAAAAATGATCCTCTGAGCCTCCGCCTTCTTCTCCAGGATATTGTAAACCCACTGGGGGGGGGGGGAATGAAAGCAAATTGTTTACTGTGGCCTTTCCTCTCGACTCCCCTGAACGGAGAAGCTGAATTCAGCCGTCTGACCTGGAGGCTGAAGCTCTGCTTCTCGATATACGGCAGGGTGATGGACCGATAGTCTTCCCCCGTCTCCTCCACCAGGAAACTCTCCTGTCTCTGGTGTCTCTTTATGTGCTTCTCTGTGGCAGGGTACACCACTGTGGTCTTAATCTCTGAGAAATAAAGATAAGAAAGAATAGCACAGGTTACCTTTCTTTCCTCCAGGTTAGCCGGAGGCCACTACTTGAGTGGTGTGAGAGGTCCTACCATTGAGGTGAGGAGGGGCCTGGAGCCGATAGCTGTTGTAGATGTCGTTCTTCATCTCCAGCTTCAGGGTGGAATCACTGAGGAGCTCAGTCAGTGTCTCCTCTCTGAAAGGAGTCTTTTCCAGGATCACCACAGCATCCTGATCTGCAATCTGAGTATCACACGCTCAGTTAAACGCCTGCCTGCAGCCCAGGAGAAAATAAACATTTAAAAATGGCTCCATCCTTAAAGTCTGGATATAAAATATACTCAACTCGGACTTTTACTTTGGAAGTATCCAACCGGAAGTGAATATTTTGTATCCCTTTTCAGTTGCTTACATTGTCAATGAATATCACTATCCTAATACAGATTTTTTTTTTTACAGTAAAGCACTACCGAATGTAACTGAGCTTAATTATGTTCGTAAACAAAGCTGACTTAGCTAACCTAAACGAATACCTTTCCGTGTATAAACATGATTTTCTCCCGCGCAGAATCACTTAACACGCTCGATGTCTTAAACCCATCCAGGATTTTTTCACTCGGAGATTCTTTCCCATCCTCCGGTCCCTTCTCGTGGTCGTTTTTAGCCCTCTTCGCCTCCAGAGAAATACCACTTTCAGCACAGATAGCTTCACGTTTAGTCGCGGCGTTCGCCATGTCTGTAGCTGCAGGGATCAAAGATCGTCTATACATGAAGTCATGCCTCACTCCATATTCTATAGACCACTAACCCAATTTGGACACAAAAGTGGATTTAAAGTATCTATTCGTCTTTTTACCCCTTAATCGTTTCAGTGGTCTATTTCAAAATATTGCTCTACATTTTCTGGTGTTTTAAATTCACGAGCTGAAATTGCATGATGAAAGAAATATAAAAAAATAAATAATATTGGCAGTTCGTCACGATTCTTATATTTACTATATAAATTATAGTAATAATAGTAATGAGCATTATCATTAGTTAAACTTAAAGAAAATATTGCCCCGCCACCCCGTTCAGTAATAAGAGGTTAGGGAAATGGATGGATGATTTAAGAGTACAATGCTACCACTGCAAGGCCGGTTACATGAGTTTGAGTGAGACCTCTTGCATTTGAATATCTGCTAAATGTGAAGTTAGATAGTCATTAACGAATTCTCAAACTCTCTAAGTTTACAAAATAAAGGCTACATTAGTTACCAACGTAAATTTACCTATTCCTTTTGGCAAATAATTTCCATTTGTGTGTGCATTGCTTTACACATTATCTGTTATTTATTTACTTTTGTTCACTCTGTCGAATTACTTTTTCAATTTAAACTGAAATCCCTCCGCAAAGACAAGCACGGCATCGCGAGAACTCTTTTAGCAACGATCTTATGAGATCAAAATATTTGAGTGTAGTGGAGTTATAAAGAGAGAGAGAGAGTGATAGACAGAGTGTGATGGATGGAAAACTTTCCTGGTTTGCCTAATTTCAGCATTCATTGTATTTATTAGATTAACAGACCTGTCGCTCAGTAGTAAAATAACTGCGCATTAATACAATTGACAGCTGAACGGACCAATGATAATTCAACAGTCTGGTGACTCATTAACAGGAAGTTATTTAAAATGCACAGCCTGTGCGCTTTGGTTTAGTTGACACTAGACAGAGTTCAGGATGATTCGTTTTGTTGAAGCGTAGCAGGGGTGTTGGGATTGTCGTTTTCGCGAAATTAAAATGGGTGAATTGGACCGCAAATGGCTTTTGCTCCTGGTCCTTCACACTCTGACACTTGCTGCTGATGCGAAAAAAGGTAAACAGCACAATACTTGTCTGATAACTCTTCCTTTAAAACAAATTAATACATTCTGACTCGTGTTATTTTGAATATTTGGCTTGCGCTGTTACTTCGTTATCTGCCATTAACGTTAATTGGTGCTCATTAAGGGGCTCGTACCTGCATTTAATTGACTTTACTGATGTTCAATTTTTGTGTTGCATTTGAAATGAGTTGAAGTGAAACCAGCAAAGACTTTTCTTTACTTGTGTGTACGTGTTACGCTTCCATACTTTTAAACTTTTCTCAAACTCTGCTTCCCTGTCCCGTGTTTTACATGTAAACACAAACTTGCCGGGTCAGAGAGGAAAAACGTCCTTTTCATCTTGGCGGACGATTTGCGGACATCACTGGGTTGCTATGGAGACACTCTGGTTAAATCACCCAACATTGACCAGCTGGCATCCAAAAGTCAGGTTTTCCTCAATGCATACGTTCAGGTGAGCGAGTTTGGCATTTGTTTGTGAACCAAACGAAGTGGCGAAGTTCTTTAACCAAAACTGACACGTTTGAACTGGCGTTTTACTTCACGTGTCAGCAAGCCGTGTGCGCTCCTAGTCGCACATCGATGCTGACCAGTCGCAGACCGGACACAACCAGGCTATATGACTTCAATTCTTACTGGAGAGTCCATTCTGGGAACTTCACAACTTTGCCACAATACTTTAAATCTAATGGATACTTCACCATGTCTGTGGGCAAGGTGTTCCACCCAGGTAAGATGGCGTGATTTATTCTTTTGTAAAGGACATGTTGTCTTCCATGTGGAGCCTTAACAGTATGTCCTGGTTTCTTTCTGTAGGAATTGCCTCTAACCACTCTGACGACTACCCCTACAGCTGGACCATCCCTGCTTACCACCCAGCTTCATTTAGATTTGAGAAACAGAAGGTATGAAATAGAAATATATTTAGAAAAGTTCACGTTCATAATTTTCCGGCAATGTAGATGTAGTTCAGTTTCAAAAGGAACAAGTTCCTGTTTAATTTCTCAATGCCTGTCTGAACAATTCAACTCGCATCTTGTGATTTGTGTGGTTTATTTCAGTTAAATATTAAATTAAATGTTACAATCTGACTTCCGTTTGTGAAGGTGCTAATTTCAAAGCGTTCATGCACAATACTGATGCCTACCTAGCACCAGCCCTCAACTGGGAGTGATCCTGGTTTGTTTCCTTCCTTCGAGTCTTGGTTTTATTCATAGTTGGCCTACAGCACCAAGTGTAACCAGAAGCTGTTCTCAGTCATTCTGGTGGAAAATAAACCAGCCAAAAAAAATAATGTAGTATATATTAGTCTAACTAGAAGACTCTTTGTGAGCCTACCTGTGTACCTGATCTGAGAAGAAAAAGTGTGCAAACATGACTGAATGAAATTGTAATAATGCTGTTTCCAGATGTGTAAAGGAGCGGACGGTAAACTCCATGCCAACTTGCTGTGTGCAGTGAACGTGACTGAGCAGCCAGGGGGAACCCTCCCTGATCTGGAGAGCACAGACGAGGCAATAAGGTTGTTGAAGGGTCGGGCTGACAATGGCGCTCCATTCTTCTTGGCTGTGGGTTTTCATAAACCGCACATACCTTTCAGGATACCCCAGGTACATGAGTCCCTGTCAGGATTTCAGCACTTGTTTGTGCATAACCACAATTTCTAAAGAAAATATTACAAATAAAAGCTTGGATGTAGTGTCAGATATTAAATTGGAACGAAAGATTTGCAAATCCAAATTATATACACTAAATATCATAGAAAACATAAAGTGCTGAGATTGGCACATTTTACCAGATAATAAAAGTTCTCATGCTCATGTTGGCATTAAGGACAGCAGTGCATGTCAGAATTGAGAAAAGGTCAATGAGCAGCTGGAAGAGGAGGGATAGAGCACTCCAGGGAGGCAAAGGCTTTCAGATATAAAGATGAGGATGTTTTTAACACTTCTGCCAAAAACAGCACTTCCTCATTTTCAGAAAATTTGGAGATACGTGTCCAAGGGGCACGTCTGCAAATTGGTTCATGATTCTGTCTTATGGCTATTTTATTTTTTCAAAAACTTAAGCAGTCTGGAACATTCCGTGGATGCAAGTGGCCACATGGATACATCCAAATTGCGTTTCTGCTGATGAGCAATACTGATTATTTTCGGCAGCTTGCATTAAAGGTTCCCACTGATGCTGAAAAAAACATCCCCGTCCTGTGATCAGATGCTAGACGTGCTCTCCGTAACACAATGGACGTTGTGCGCTCTAAACTGAAAAGTAATGCACGGCATTCAGAGTCTGACCGAGCACTACTGGTAACCGGGGCAGAGGCTCCGACGGGCATCTGTGGCCATACAGAGGACAATGCCGTGAAATGCGATTATTGGATGAGTCACACTGTTATTGCATTAGTGTTTTTTTTTTTTTTTTCCTCCCCTCCCTGAGGGAAACGCTAATATTCCTGTTTGAATCACCAAAATCCAACTAGATAACGATCGCTGCTCATAATTTAACCCAAAAGGCTGATTAAAGCTGCAAGCTGGCCGCCAATTTGTCAAGATATATTACACCAGATTTCTCAGTCTGTGCCTCACAATGGATGCAGTTAATTTTCTGGTGGAATCCGAATGATGCACTTCACAAAGATAGACATTCACTCTCTTAGAAAGGAGTTATGCGCAGTTAATTTAGCCCTCTGCCCCTAAACGCCAGCACAAGTACAGCCGACCATGTGGAGTGAGGAGAGTAAAACATTGTCCTGCCCAATGGACGAAGAGTCTGAAACATACACAGATACTTGGTGTTATCAGGGAATGAGGATGGTTGGTCATAACAGAGAATCGATACAGCCACTTGACAAAAAAGAGGAAACTCAAAGCCACCCTGGCAGTTTAGATGCAAGCTGTGGATGCTAAATGTTGAAAGTGGAGCCAGGAAGTGATAACTTTAAAAATAAGAACTGAGAATAAGAACTGTACAGGATTCGCTGTAATTGTGACCAAGGGTTTGTGCACACATATAGTAGACCAAGCTCTAAAAGTAGAGTTTATCCCTCTTTTAAAATGTTTTTTTTTTTAAACAAATTTTTTTACTTGGTGAGATCAAAAATTGAAGAAAAAAGCTTAAGCCTTGTAGGTAGTCTGAACAGTTATATTGTAATTGACTGACAGCACCTGTGACACCTTTCAAAATCCCTCATTTCTGTTTTTTGGGGGTTTGTTTTTTCCTGTAGCACTTTCAATGATGTTGTCTTTATTTTACAGGAGTACCTAAGCTTATATCCTCTTGATGAAATGTCTCTGGCCCCTGACCCGGACGTCCCCAGACTCCTTCCGCCGGTGGCCTACAACCCCTGGACCGACGTGAGAAAGAGGGACGACGTCCAAAGGCTCAATATCTCCTTCCCCTACGGACCGATCCCCAAAGACTTCCAGGTGTGTTCTGGCTGTTCATCTGAAGCCTCTGGCATCACTCGTCTACTTTCAGAGACCAATAACCCCCCCTGCCCCCCTGTGTCTTCCAGCTGCGGATCCGTCAGCACTATTACGCTGCCGTGTCTTACATGGACGCTCAGGTTGGGAGGCTGCTCAGCACGCTCGATGACCTGGGGCTGGCTGACAGCACGTTGATTGTGTTCGCCTCTGATCACGGTAAGCAGACACTGGGCTCTCCTTGTAGAACCTGAGAAAATTCTAAATTATTGTTCAATCAAGTTCTGTGTGTGCAGGAAATCATTTATTTGCTATTCTCGTCTTTGGCCACTAGGTGGCAGTATTGTATCATCAAATATCAGCATCAGCATTTTTGTTTTTTCCTTCTGTCTGGTCTTCCTTTTTCTAGTAGTTTGGAGACTCACTGTTTTAAATGTGTCCTTATACCATATTACAAGTTTTATTCCTATATTCTATTCCAAGCCTCTTTTTCAAAGTTTTTTTTTAACCTTTCAAATCTGATATGTTCTGTGAACTCCTTCTGACTGATGTATTCTCCATATTTAAACCATTGTATGGCTAAATCCCAACATCTCTTCCATCTTCCTTAGTGTCTGAGCTAACATCTTTTATTTCTTTTGTTTTTTGTAATTCCTGTTGTTGCAGGCTGGTCGTTAGGTGAACATGGGGAATGGGCTAAATACTCAAATTTCGACGTGACGACACGCGTGCCCCTCATCATGTTCGTTCCTGGTGTGACTGCAGACCTTAAATGGCCCGGAGAGTCAAACTTCCCTTTCATTGATGTTTTTAGATGGCGGAATCACAGCTTCATGAGTAAGGCTGGAGCCACTGAAAGCCAAATAGGTCACACTGGTAACATGAAATGAGCTCAATTTCCGTTAAAGGCTGTGTCGAATGCTTAAGGCATCTAAAATTGAGTAGAGTTTTTTTTTTCTCTTTTTTTTTCTCCATGTACAGTAGTTTCAGGAACATTGTTAAATATATACAAATATGATGGGTAACTTTGATTTAATCATTAATGGACCCACATATGTCAGTTTGGGTCAAATATAACTTTTCAGTTGACTGAGGGTGGTTTTTGATTAAAGTATAAACGGTGTTCTGGTTATTAGCATATTTTTTCTCTCTGTAGCTAAATAAAACTCCTTTCATTCAGTACGACCCTCTCACCCTCAGATGCCAAAGTTAGCCGAAACATGGTGGAGCTGCTGGACATCTTTCCTACCGTCTCCTACATGGCTGGCCTCAAAGCACCTGAACGCTGCCCTGACGTTTCTTTCCAGGTATCAATAGACTTTGTAATCCCCGTTTCCTTCTAGAACAAACACAACACTGACATTGGGCAGTTTTAGAGCTCAGATCGGAGCTCAAAAGTCTGCTGAGGGGGCTCTGGCTCTCACTCTTTTGGAAAGATTCTGGGCACGCCCAGCTGGGAGGAAATCATGTTCTGGGTAGAAAAGGACTCCCGCAATACCTTAGTTGTCCTGAAGAGGATGGAAGGATGTTCAACCATGTTCAGCCTGCATTTAAATGCCGTTTAGCGCACGCCACGGGCTTGTCACGCGTCTCCCTGCTGTCATATTCCATAGTCTTTGCTCATAATCTGTGGCGGTACATTCAGTTTACATTGCTCTCTGTGGGTAAATTGACTTTTGCTGATAAATCGCCCCATAAGCTCTGGATTTTCAGCACGTTGACTTTTTCTTTCTTTCATCAGAACATTGATCTCCCTCTCACTTACCCACAATTTCACATCCATCTGGATCCGGCGTGCGCGCTGCTTTATACAAGACGCCACAGAACTCTCCCGCTGCCTCAGTAACTTCACGTTTGATGGATCCTGTTACAGTGCCGCCAAAACAACCATTGTAGTTGCATTTCCATAAAAATCTAATATTGTCTCTACTCAATTAAAACCGACCTTCACAACATTTAGCTGCGCTCTCCCTACAACAAACATCAAAACCGCTAATTACAGTCATTAGTGGGAAATTGAGGCTCGCAGCAGCTTCAGATCGTGGTCACTCGCGCTGTAACAGAACAGAGGAGGTCTGGATTTTCAGCGCCCTGTGATGATGTTGCATCAGCATCATTGTCCCGGTTGCTGCCAACCAGCCGACTCTGACATCCGCTTCCCTCCGCTTGTGGCCTGCCTTCCTGCTTCCAGATGGAGCTCTGCACAGAGGGGAGGAACCTGGCTCGCAGATTTCATCACAAGGAAAAAGGAAAGAACGCAGAGATGTTAGCTTTCAGCCAGTACCCTCGACCCGCCGACACCCCACAGGTAGGGCTTTTTTCCAAAGGGCAAGTGGTTTCGAGTTTAATCGGCAGGGATGTTTCACCTCTTGCCTTTTAAAAATGTGGAACTTGGAGCGGGTCGAACCCTCTGCTCGCTCCTCAACTGCCCCCCCCCCCCCCCGTGACCCTGCGGTTGCAGATCTGACGGCAGCTTAAAGAGTCATTGCTTGGAGTCCTTGTTTTAGGAGAACTCTGACCTCCCGGATCTGAGAGACATCACGGTGATGGGTTACTCCCTGCGCTGCTGGGATTACAGATACACGCTGTGGCTGGGCTTCGACCCCAGCTCCTTTCAGGTGGGTGTGTCTCTCTCATCTTCCCGTTTGTTCCTGTGGTTCTGGCTGATAGCGATAGAGCCGCCTGTCATCTGTCCATCTCTTCATCCAGGTGAATGTCTCGGACATCCACGCCGGAGAGCTGTACATGTTGGCGGACGACCCCGGTCAGGACGTGAACATCTACAATGAGACCGAGCACAGCGTGGTCATGAGGAAGATGGCCAGCCTTCCTCATGTGAGTTTCAGCCTGATTCCCTTTCCCCCCACTCAGCTCCTCTGTTGTTAACCTGCGCGGTTACTCGTTCTACAGACCCTGAGTCTACAGACGAGGATGATGTTCCAGTTCCACTACCTCACAGCAGGGATGAAGACAAGTAAAGCTGGCCTGTGGTGACACGCAACAGACGGGGGACTCCAACAAAGGGAAGGCGGATGGATGAAAGAGGGGAAAATAGTTTCTATAACACATGTTCACTATTAGTCATATTTATTGTTTGAGCTTTGTATTTCTGACTGATCAATGTTGAAGAGAAGAGAATAAAATAACATTTTTCAAACATTTCACCCAGTGGATTCCATACATGTTCCTCATGCCTGCAGCTCATGTCTTCTGGTAACCACTTTTCTTTTGTCTATTTTCCACCACTGGATCATTTCCACTGAAACATCTGTAAGGCATAGCGGTTTGCTCTGATCACGATGACAAATGAACGCATTCCGGAAGTTTATTTACTTGGAAAGATCTGCTCAAAAGTAGTTCATTTGAAAAAGAGTTATTTTCTCTGTCCTGATGACCAAAGCTTGCAGCTTCCACTTGTTTCCAGCTGGGTTGCTCAAATTGAACATTAAGACCTTCATGGTCCCAGTTCTTAGGAAGCACCAAATGTCAATGAACGGTTCTGATTGGCTCCAACTTTGAGCTGAAGAATGATCAGAACTATTATCTATTTATTTCTGTCTAGAAAAGTTGTAGAAGAGTGGTTGCCTTTTTTGGAGCAGCCTTTGCTGCATGTGGCTGATTAGTCTGCTTAAAGGGAACCCCGAGGTTTAGTCTTTCCCTCTGAACTACAACAGTTAATTGGGGACTTGCAGGTTTGCGCCGTAGTGCTACATATTTCTACTTGTTTGTCACTCGCAGCTATTTGCCTTCCTTCCCTCCGTTATGAATCCAAAGGAACAGAATGAAGCGAGTTAAATCCACCCGTAACAATGCAATGCATGTCATCTTTTTTTTTTTTTTTTTAATCAGTGTGGCAACATTTTTGCTTTCCTTCCAATGTCTGAGCGTTTTGTGGCCCTGTAATTTGGACGAAGGCAGTTTCAGCTTTAATTTCAGACCAGAGTAGAAGGGATTCGGCCCGTTGGCCTTTTCGTTGTACACCGCTTTGGTTTATACTTTAATGGAGTTAAAAATGACCACCGCATCGTCACATGGCTCTCTTTTGTGTCAAGATGTTGAGGGAAATTCTACAAAAGAAGCAAAATAGCAAAATTCCTTTTAGTTCCCAGGGTGGTGGAGCATTTCACATCTCAAGAGGCTGTGAGTTTAATTAGTGATAAACTGTCCGTACAGATGCTGATGAGGTTGGAATGAGCTCCTGGGTTCCATCAGAGCCTCTTTGAAACCAAATCCCCACATTGAAGATAAGACATCAGAAAATGATTTGCATGTTCAGACCTGTTGATACATTATACCTTGTAAACAAACAAAAACATGAAGATGAGTGTAACCGTGAGCAGAAACACTCGACTGAGGGTCATGTGTGCAGAAGCACTTTGCTGCACGTCCAGCCAAAAGGGCTGTAATGCCCACAGCAGAGGTGTAAAACTGCAGAGGAGGTAGGGAGCTCCCGAGGGATCTCACCACTCTATTCTGTTTTTTTTTTCACTCCTTTCCTCTGCCCGATCGTTTCTCTCCTGGAAAAAAACACCAAGTACGTGCCTGGAAGATTTCAGCCTGAGTTAATCAGTGCATGATTCCTCAGTGTCTGTCTGTCTATCTGTCTGTCTGTCCTTCTGGAAAGCACAAGCAGTTAAAAGCCTTGTAATTGTGTTTGACATTGATTTTTTTTCTTTAATGTTTTCTTTTCTTTTTTTAAATTCTTGGAAATGATGCAAACCTAATGGAAGAACTCTGCTTGAAAATAAAAAGTTCATTTCCATCCATGCTATTATTCCTCCTCTTCTGATATTTTTTCAAGCACAAGCCGACTTAAGCATTGTTGGACATTTGTCAACATACACACATACATACGTCACATTTGATGCACTTAATTTTTTCGATTTTTAATTTTTTTATGAAGACACAGCTTTTTTTTTACATGCAAAGAAAAAAGAGGGAACACCACACAGAATATGATATAAAATATACCACAATATGTTCTACAATACATATATTGGTACAAAAACAGAAAGCAAACATTACAGACATTATCATAAATAAAAAATATTTAATGATTTACAATATTCATATGTTTTAAAAACTTTTTTTCTTGTACTCTTTGAAGAAGTGGATAGATATAGTTCTATTTTCTTCATTAAAACTGCAAAAAATGAGGAAGATGATGAAAATGTACTTTTGTGAACATGAAATTGACCAATAATGATTAAATTAATTGCCAGTGTTCTGTCTATATATATATTACTTCTATGAAAACCAAAAATAGTATGCTCATACATACTAAAATTTAGGATCAACATTACAAATTAATTAATAATAAAGTTCACGACTTATTTTTTCTGGACCAAACGTTCAGCAAACTGTCTTTTAACCACTAGGGGGCAGCACAGTCGATCTCCAAACCAAAGATAAACTACACTGTCTGCTTTAAACGGCCTTTTAAAACATCTGTTAATTATCTTTTCTATGTTTCATACATGGCTGTTCAGATGTGACATTTTTACAAAAGAGTCTTACAGTTAGCCTTTGACCTATCATTCAATTGGACCACGGTTCCTGCATACATCCATGGCAGTGGATTCCAGTTTCTGTGGGTTGTCCTACGTTTGAACGTTCAAAGCCTTCAGCTACTTATCACTTTCTCACTGAAAGATCACAGAGTTGGTGGGTAAAGCCAAGGCTGTGTAGAATGTCATTGGCCAATGTAATGATTTGCAAAACCAAAACCATATTTTGGTTTCAGTCAAATTTTGAAAACCAAGATCTTGGTCGTTAGATGTTTCGCTTATATTTTTTGGTTAAAAAATATAAGCTCGTATTTCATTTGACAGCAACCAAACGTGTCAGAAGTTTGATCTCAGACAACTTAAGACAACAAGAAAACAAAAATACACAGTATATTGTAACCAAAGTGATGAAACTGAAATATATATATTTTTTATATAAATTGAAACATAGGTAACTCAATAAGACCTGAATAGAGAGTTATGATGTATCTGAAACCTGTAAAATGGATTGTGGAAAGAATAATGTGGTATTAGCTACTAAGCAAACAAGACAACGTATCGTGTTCTCTAACAGTGACTTCAGTCAGAGGTTACAGCAGCTTGCCGCTAATGAGTCAATCCATGTTCATATTGTATGTTTTTGACAGTTTTATTTTAATGATTTTGTCAGTTATTTGCCTATTGAGAAAACTTTGTTTTAGTTAGTTAATTGTGCATTTGCTCTCCCTGACAGGGACAATATCCTTTCCCTTCAGGGATGAATAATGCGTTCATCCATTGATAGAGACCCCTTCAGTGGCCTGGGTCTATTTCATGTGTCACCGAGGCTGTTTGTTGGATGGTGCCTTGCCAAGGGGCGAGTCCCCAGCCACCCTCTGCCCTGAGTTTAGTCCTCCTTTTCTGAAGGTAGTAATGAAGTGCGAGTCAGTGCAGCTGTACCGTCAGCTTATATTTCTGCCTCGGCGGTTTCACCGGATCAATATTTATCATCACAGGCAGTCATCTCTGACCGTAACCAAACCGATCTAATTGCAGTGGCAAACTGCTTACCGGCTGATTCTCTCTTCCCTCCTTCCTCCTCTTTCCTTTCCTTCCCGTCTCCTCTCGCTTAATCCCGCCTGCTCCCTTTTCTCCCACCTGCTCCATCTTTGTCTGGCCCCTCGTCGCCTACCGTTATGTTTCATACACTGGTAATCACATTACTGCTATGGGCTCATATTCTGGCAGGTCAGGCTGACTTTCTATTAACGGTGGCAACATACACAATTACATTAAAGAGAGGGGGGAGAATGTGTGTGCACGCGTGCGTGCACGTGTGCGTATACGTGTGTGTGCGTCTAGAAACCGCTTAGCTCAGCTGCATGGAGACTGGGGTTCCTCTCAAGGGTGTGTGTGTGTGTGTGTTTACCATGTGTGAATGAATCCAGGGACAGTAAACAACCTCCTGTTCTCTGCCTCCCAAACACTTCAAGAAGTGGACTTGAAGAGTGCTCTGCCAGAGAGGATGTTTTTCACTACAACTGCTGTCTAGTTGGCTAATTAGAAGCTTTGCTGCTAGACTAAACAGTGTGTGAATGTAGCATGATGTTTGGTTCTTACTATGAGAAATAATTGCGCACAAATGTTACATCATACTCTCTCACAAACACTACTATAGTCACGCACATACTATCATACTCTCACAAACACTACTATAGTCCCACACATACTATCATACTCTCACAAACACTACTATAGTCACACACATTCTATCATACTCTCACAAACACTACTATAGTCCCACACATACTATCATACTCTCACAAACACTACTATAGTCACACACATTCTATCATACTCTCACAAACACTACTATAGTCACACACTCTCACAAACAATCCCACAAACATACTCTCACAAACACTACTATAGTCGCATATACAATCATACTCTCAAAAACTACTATGGTCACACACACACATACTATCACACTCTCTCACAAACACTACTATAGTCACACACACTTACTATCATACTCTCTCACAAACACTACTATGGTCACATATACAATCATACTCACAAACACTACAATAGTCACACAAACTTACTATCATACTCTCCCACAAACACTACTATAGTCACACACTCTCACAAACGCTCTCACAAATACACTCTCAGAGTGTTTGTTATTGGTGTTCAGGGCAACCAATAACAGAGTCTTCAGACAATTATTTAGCCATTGTGGAGTGTGTCTTAGGCAACAGCCTTCTGTATGTGAGACATACACACAGGCACACACACATACAATCACAGAAAAAACTAATTTCTACCTTTGCTTGTATGTATACGATGGGAGGGCAGACAACTGCAGAGGCCACAGTCCTCTCCTCTAAAGGTTGATCTGGTCTTTTTCTTTTCTCCCCAGACAAAGTTAAACCAGTTCAGCCTTTGCTTAAACTCCTCTCCACTGACGCTGATGGGAAACTGGGTGGTTAGTTAACGCGAACCCTGCCGACCGAAGCGTGGGCAGCGATGAAACCCCGGCCTCTTTCTTCTCTGAAGCAACAATACGTTTATAGTCAGACTGTCTCTCTTCTTGGTCTGTGGACTCCTTTTTGGATCTTTGATTGCGAAGTTTTTAGTTCTCAGCATTTTGGTCCGAAAAAAGCTCTGGAAGC